TCTTTTTCTTTCTTCCTTTCTTTCTTCCTTCCTTTCTTTCTTTTTCTTTCTCTCTCTCTCTTTCTTTCTTTCTTCCTTTCTTTCTTTCTCTTTCTCTCTTTCTTTCCTTCCTTTCCTTTCCTTTTTTCTTCCCTCCCTGACCTGGGATTGAACCCAGGCCCTTGGCAGGAAAGCATGGAGTCTTAACCACTGGACCACCAGGGAATTCCCTGTATTAAAAATTATGACTTATTCTTTGTGGTTTTGGAAGCTGGGTGTTAATCTGCTTTTTTTTCTTTATTAAATGTTTGTAATCCCCAAAAGAACTGATCTCCACTTTTCCATAGTCTCACCCAAACTGCTGTTGCAGAATGGGTTTTTCTTTCCCTGGGAATAAATGGTTCAAATAAATGGCAGATGCCCAGTAGTAACCTTTGGGACTCAGTTGCAGTTATTGCTAATGTGTGTTTCAGATTCACTTTGGACCTATAGTACCTAGTTTAAACTCTTTGAAAATTATATTTACCAACTCCTCACTGCTTTTAACTGAAACCTAAAAATATGACTACCAGTTAACCTCAGTAATTTTTTGCATACATTTATATCATTTAGGAGAATTCCGTAGTGGATCATGTCTGACTAGCTGTATGTAAAAACACTGAGGCTAAGGTGTCAAATATAATTTTTTTTCTGTTTTGCACATAGTTAATGCTAGGTGCCAAATTGAAGCTAAGAGAAGTAGTTTAGCTTAGTAATGCTTCACTTCTTGAGTAAGTAAAGAAAAATATGATGTAGTTGTCCAAAAATCATTTGTTTGGCTTTGGATTTCATTAGAGAATTTTCCAAAGTGTAGTCATCGAAACTCAGAAAACCAGATGCTTTGTGGTAAAAATATTATAAGGCCAAGTAAATTTGAGAAATGATACATGACATAACCCCTCTTTATGTAGCATCTTAATCATTCCTTCAGCAAATATTAAGTGAATACACCTATTCCATGCCAGGAACCATTGTAAGTACTAAAATAAAACAGTGAATAAATCATGCCAGAATCCCTGCCCTTAAGATTATATTCTAAAGGCTTTCAGGAGGCCTACAGTCTAATTTTGTGTAACTTAGTGTTTCTCAGTCTTATTTGACTTTGGAACTCCTTTTTCTATGAACATCCCATGGAACAGTATTCAAAGGAATTCTATTTTAGAAACATGGGTTGTTTTCATGTTCCTAAATGAAGGGTTAATTCTTGCCTCTCAAGGAGATTTTTCTCTTTAGTTTGTCACATAAATTTTGAATTATATACATAAAATTATATATTCATATTCCCTTTGAATATTTGAGTGCTTATATGTATAATACATATATACTATACACACATATGATATATTTAGGTATAGTGTAAATATAGTGTTTTGCTTATTACTATATGGATCTTTCAATACTACCTCATCTGTCATTCTCAGTTGAGCCTTCCTTGACTACTTGTGATAAAATTAATCTCCCATATATTTAGGCTCTGATAGCACAATGTGTGTACTTCTTTTTTCAATACTTACCACATTTCATCATAACTATTTATTCCCTATTTTCCCAGCTTAGAATAAATTCTTCAAGGGCACAGAGGGACTGTGTCTTATTCATCTTTGTATTGCCATGACCAGACATTAAAGCCTGGCTTGTAGTAGGTGCTCAATAAATGTTTGTTGATTGAGTTTAATAAGAGTCATGAAAATTAATTTTCTGGTTTATGCTTTCAATGTTCTTAATTTAGACCATAGCTTTTTAAAGTCTAATTGTACTGAAGATGTTTTACATTTTCCCTGTAGGTTACATTGTATAGCATGTATGTTTCCATAATGGCTTTCAATGCGAAGGTTAGTGATCCACTTATTGGTGGAACATATATGACCCTTTTAAATACTGTGTCTAACCTGGGAGGAAACTGGCCTTCTACAGTAGCTCTTTGGCTGGTAGATCCCCTCACAGTGAAAGAGTGTGTAGGAGCATCAAACCAGAATTGCCGAACACATGATGCTGTTGAGGTAAGTATGTTGCAATTTTAGATAATGTTAAGGTAATATTAAGATATTAATTTCCTCGTTTTTGCCTCTAGAAGTACTACATCTTTTTAAAATTGTATCTGCCCATAGTTTCTAATAGCTTTTTCTTTCCCATCATAACTGAGGGTATAAACACTCACATCAGTAAGTGAAGCTCACTTGAAGTTGCTTCTCAGCAAGGGAGGAGCAGTCTCTCTCTCCTTCACCTTGTGTACCATTGTCCTTATACACTAGGCATTTAATAAATGCATGATTAATAGCTAAGGTATATAATGATATAAGAAGGAGAGTTCCATTGGCTATTCATATAACAAATGGTGTTAAAACTGAATGGTTAGTAGTTTGTTGATAAATTATTTCAAAGTAACAATAACCCACTTCTGGAGTAAATTCCTTGGAAATTTCCTCACATTTCCAAATATGAAAAGCTGTATCTTGAAAATGAATATTGTTTACAGCAAGAGCTGAAAATTCTTTTTAATACTGTTAGTAGCATTAGAGAGATTAAGATGCATTAACTTGTTTTGTCACTTGGAGTGAATGAAATGTTTTAACAAAAGTATATTTTGATTAATCCTTTAAATAACAAAGCAGAAACGTAATTGCTGAATACTTCCATTTTGAAATTGTGGAGTATTTATTGATATTATAATTTTATTTTTACAGCTTTGCAAAAAACTCGGTGGCTCATGTGTTACAGCACTGGATGGTTATTATGTGGAGTCCATTATTTGTGTTTTTATTGGATTTGGTTGGTGGTTCTGTCTTGGTCCAAAACTTAAAAAGTTACAGGATGAAGGACCATCTTCATGGAAGTGCAAAAGAAGCAAGTAATGCATTCACTACTGGACATTCTAGAACGGTAACTCTAGTTTAGTTTTAACTCAGAGTTATGATAATCAGTGTACAGGAGTATAAAATATTATTTTAAACAGGAAATTATTAATATAAAATGTCAAATGGTTAAAAATATAGAGACCTCTCTGTATATTTAAATATACTTTTCCTTGCCTTGTCAATGTATTTAAAGTTTACTTAAGGTCAGGAAATTGGTACTAAAACAACTTTTCTGATCTTGTTATTTGATTTATGTCTTTTTAATTTACTGACCAAAGCATGTTTTAAGCTGCAATGCAGTAGTCATGGGTGGTAACCTTGCAGTCAAGTATTGTTATCAGTACCTATCATTGAGCTATATTAAAATGTTTGGTAAAATATATTAAATGGAACAGAGCTTGATATTCAGGTACTAACTACAACTAGTTTGGCCTTGTTGGCAGTTAAATCTTATTTTGAATTGTAAATTGGTTAAATTTGTTGTGGAATTTGTTGAGAAGAGAATATAAACTACTGAAAAACCATTTTAGTTTTAACTTTTCTGACCATAACCACATTGTACTAATGAATCTGTGTTAAAAAGACTATTTTAAATGTATTTCCTGCTTTTGTAAGCATTAAAGACTTATAGGAAGATTATTCAAACTATTTTTTATAAAATGAAAGCTATGACTTTTATTGGTTCCCCTCCCCCTTCCCCCTTTTGAAAGATATTTTGATTACTTGTTAATTTTACCGTAAAGCTTACATATGGTTTTTTGTCATAAGTGCTTCATGGCACATGGACAGCTCACAAGTGGTTCAAATTTAATGTTGTATGTATGTTCATGGCAAAGTTTTGAAAATAAAAATTAAACGTTTTTCTTCAAGTAGTCTTCTTTTTATTATTGAGAGAAAAACAGTAAAACTTACTGATTAAGAAAAATTTAAATGAATAATAGTGTAATTTTAGAAACTGTTTTGAAGAGAGAGACAAAGACATTTTGTGCCTTTGACAAATAATGTGTTGGAAAAAGATTTCTTAATTAAGCACTGTACTAATGAGAAAAGCTCTCACAATTATACCGAATCAGGTACTATGTTTCCTCTTATTAAAACACATCCTTCTGTTTGTAAACTATAGTTTCTGGTGGGGAATTGCTATCCCAGGAGAATTAAGCTTTTGAGTACTTTAGCAATTTCCAACATATTATGTGTACCTGGTAATAAGGTTCTTTGCATATTTTGTGTTGTATGGTACTCAGACTCTTTAGAGATTACATAAAGCCTTCAAAAGTTAGAGAAAAAGAGATATTAAGTTGACTCTTATTTTTTTTTAACATCTTTATTGGAGTATAATTGCTTTACAATGGTGTATTAGTTTCTGCTTTATAACAAAAGTGAATCAGTTATACATATGTCCCCATATCAGTTGACTCTTATTTAATAATTATTATCTTTGTGGGAAAATACATACTAATGTTTGATTTTGTTAATTTTATAACATAGGTTGAATTTTAGAGTGGGGTTTTTATAAGTAATGGAGGATAAAATGGGTGGGAAAAAATGGCACTCAGCGTCTGAAGAAAGATAGAGGCAGTGGCTTCTAGAACTCATGCATTGCCATTGGAAAGCCTGTGTTGGGCATCACTGTCAGATCCTGAAGAATCACCTGGAAAATCGTCCTAGAGACATCCCAAACCATAGACTACAGTACTTTGTAACGTGTGTTGTCCTTTGTCATGTATTATAATCAAAATGTTTACATGAATAAAGAAAACCTACTAACTCTCATATGTGAAATGTATTTTAATTTTGTTTTTTTTTTTTTTTTTTGCGGTACGCGAGCCTCTCACCGCTGCGGCCTCTCCTGTTGCGGAGCCCAGGCTCCGGACGCGCAGGCTCAGTGGCCATGGCTCACGGGCCCAGCCGCTCTGCGGCACGTGGGATCTTCCCGGACTGGGGCACAAACCCGTCTCTCCTGTATCGGCAGGCGGACTCTCAACCGCTGCGCCAGCAGGGCAGCCCTGTATTTTGATTTTTAACTTTTGTATTAAGAAGCTCACATTGCCATAATTACCTTTATCTTTTCCCCATATTATTACAAATTATACATACTTTCAAACGTACTTTAAGTTTATAAATCATTGATGACTTGACGTTTTAAAAAGTATTTTAAGCCTTAACGGTAAGGTGAAAGCCATTCCATTAATTACACTTGCTCTAGAAATGAACACTTGCTTTGAATTGTAGTCATTTGGTTCTTTGGATACATGCTTGTAAGGTTTGCCAAAAAAATGACTTGTTAATATCAATGTTGCATACACTGATCACTGTTGGCATCTTATAAATGATCTACCTGAATGTGAGGATCTGTTTGTTGTAAATCTGCTAGAAAACACTGCCTATTTTTGTGTGTGTTTCTCCTTACTAACAGATCCTGATAAACTCTACCCTCAAGTATGAACATTAACTCCTCCAGTTAATGAATTATATATTTACTAGCTAATATTGAATATAAATACATATATACGTTTATAAATACATATATATATATACATCTCTTTATATCAGTATTTCCATTTGCACATTGGTTGCAACCCGTTTAAATCAAAAGACGAGTTTGAAAAGCTCTTATAAGATTAGCTAAGATTAGCTGAGACTAAAACTAAAAACTCCCTCCTTGGACTTCCCTGGTGGCCTAGTGGTTAGGATTCTGGGCTTTCACAGTGGTCACCTGGGTTCAATCCCTGGTTGGGGAAGATCCCGCAAGCTGCGTGGTACTCCTTTGTAAATATTTTAATTTTGCCTGATCAATCATAAAAAATTTGTTCAACACCTGAAATAGATTTCTCTATTTTTTATTTTTATTAAAAAAAATTTTTTTAATTTATTTTTTTGGCCACGCAGCACAGCGTGTGGGATCTTAGTTCCCTGACCAGGGACAGTGGGAACTATAGTGGGAGCTGTAGGGAGCTCCCCTACAGTGGGAGCTCAAAGTCTTAACCACTGGACCGGCAGGGAAGTCCCTAATTCTCTATTTTTAAAAATATTAAACCTTTGAGAGAATTCCCTGGTGGTCCAGTGGTTAGGAGTCTGCGCTTTCACTGCGGAGGGCCTGGGTTCAATCCCTGGTTGGGGAACTAATATTCTGTAAGCTGCGCAGCACGGCCCAAAAAAAAAAAAAAAAAAAAATTAAACCTTTGAAATCTAAACCTATTGTTTGATTTCATCCTTTTATGACAAGGGTTTTTATACTAAACGGTTGTCAGTGGAGCCTTGAAACCCCTGTACTACTTGCAAAACTCTGGATATGTAATTTTTAATTTTTCTGGAGAGAGTTCTTATTAAAATATTAAATGGTCTGTGATCCAAAAAGATGTAAAAGCTATGGCCTTATTGAATATGGGCTGTACTGTGAATTTTAAACATATATTTGAGATAATAGTTGTAAAACTAATTGTTTAAAGCATTCTGAAAACAATGTTAAAAGAAAAATCTATGCTGAAAACTAGAAAATCTCTGCGTTTGTAGTACTGAACTTGAATCTTGAAGGGATTAGAGCAGATAAGACATTACTGGTGAAAGAGGGACATAAGGGTGAATGGTATTCCACAAAAGACATATCTTAGTCATTAAATCCTTTTCCTCCTATAAACAACTTGTATTTTGCCTTGTTAACATACACCCCCAAAAAGTATGTTGTTTTGTATTAAATGGTTGAGATCATTATTTAATATAACACAAGACCAGGTTTGTTTTTGTATTTTGGGGGATGATGTCTTTTCATGTATTTGAAATAATGACCCTATATAACTCACACCCTGCTAAAAATAAAGAACCAACCTGTTGGGAACATTCCATGCAGATTTCCAAAATGTATTTTACTTTAGTATTAAAGAAAGAAAATAAATTTTAAAAATAATTTCATAATAAATAGGATTAATATATTTGACAGCCATTTTAGTTACAGAAGGGAAGGTAGTATAGCGCCTTGTAACTATTTTTTTTTTTAACCAATGTCTTTGGTAGGTAGTAAGGCATAATTATTTGATTTTATCTTAGAAGATTTAAAGTATCTATAATAGGTACTTTTCCACTTCAGTTTAATCTCTGCCTGATTTGACAGTGCCAATTTTTTTTTTTTTTTTTTTTTTTTTTGCGGTACGCGGGCCTCTCACTGTTGTGACCTCTCCCTTAGCGGAGCACAGGCTCCGGGTGCGCAGTCTCAGCGGCCATGGCTCACGGGCCCAACCGCTCCGCGGCATGTGAGATCTTCCCGGACTGGGGCACGAACCCGTGTCCCCTGCATCGGCAGGCGGACTCTCAACCACTGCGCCACCAGGGAAGCCCTGACAGTGCCAATTTTTTAATGTAATCACTATTTAGTTTGGGATGGAGAGCCTTTACATTTCCTACTTGTCAAAACTACTATTAGAGTCTTCATTTTAGTCCTCTAAATTGTTAGCAAGGTAAAATGGCCATAGAGAGCTAATATTCCTTCCTGGAATTCCGTTTTGGTAGAAGCAAGTCCTGTATCAGGGCAGAATAGTTAATGTACAGGACTCATGTCCTCTCCCCTAAACTAAGAGAAACTTTGACTGTTGGATTATAAAGACTGCTTTTAAGGAGGTCTGTTTGTTTGTTTGTTGTTTTGTTTGTTTTTTACCTTGGGGGGGCAGACGTTTTGTAGGAGAAAGTAGTTTTATATAACAGGATGAAAATTGTATGATTAATCACTGTTCCTTTTTTTAAAAAATGTTGCGGGGTATAGTTTAAAAGATCATCTTAAAATATCAGCAATATTAATTTGCATAGTTTATAAGAAGTCTTGAAGCATAGAGAAAAATGTTGCTACATTTTAATAGTTTTTTGTCAATATACACATAACTTTTTATAACAATTTTGTGTAAAGAATAATGAGTAAATAGTGTGATTGAAATGAACAAGATTTTGGTATAATTCTTAGGGAGTTATCCTAAGTATCTAAAATTTAGCACCTTAGTTACAATTAAATCAGTCAATATTATAAAATATGAGTATTAAAGACTCTTCTTATTTTCATCAAAATGACTTTATCTTTTTTTTTTTGGCCGTGCTGTGTGGCGTGCAGTAATTCTTAATTCCCTGACCAGGAATCAAACCCATAACTCCCTGCATTGGGAGTGTGGAGTCTTAACCAATGGACTGCCAGGGAAGTCCCCAAAATGACTTTAAATGTTGGGAAAAGTTTACTTTTTATAGCCTTATAGTTAATGAAATTGAAATTTTTTTATCACATGCAACTATACAATTAGGAAAATATAAAATTGGGAAATTTGATTAACTTAAAAAGTTAGTTTGGCATATCTGATAAATTGATAGATTACCACTGTCAAGTTTTATTGGTGAGTCTATATCTATTGTTGTCCTCAGATAGAGCCTTTGCAAAGATTAGTGTAAAATTGAAAAAAATACTCAATGTTGAAAACTGTCATTGTTGAGGTTTTTATGTAATCATTGTACCTGTGTCCAGTTTTGAATTAAAAATGCACAGTCCAAAATCATTTCTGTTATCATTTTTGGAAGATCTAGCATTAGCTTTGATAGTTTAGCATTAGTATATGTGAAATGTTTATTTGGCTAATTTATTAAAAGATGTGTGTTAAAGCTTGATATTTATGCAGTATTTAAATATATAGAGTATATTTGAAATAAATTCTCCAGATTTTTGTATAAAGGATTATTTAAATGCTCAAAATGATTACTTAAAAATTAATCTCAAAAAATAAAACATTAATGAAAGATTCTTATTTTTATTACATAATAACCAAGTTTACCTTCAAATCATTCATATCAAAATGATACTAGCTTGGCATTATATAATTAAAAACAAATACAGTAATTTCAA